AGTACTTGGATGCACGCAGGCAGCAGAAACCTGCAGCCCCAAAAACCATTTTTAAAACATTTGGGGGAAACAGCTACAACCCAGCTCCACCGAGGCAACTGCCACCACCACCACGCTGTACAGCCACGTTTTCGCCAGCCCGCTTCTGGCCCCTGTCATCACTGCCAGAAGTGGGGACATTATAAAAGGGAATGTCCCCAGCTGAGGGATCGTTCTACCTGGATTCGCCCCGGCCCACCACCACCGCCTAGAGCAGCCGCCGCCCATCACTACCAAGATATAGTGGCCACACCATATGGGTCAGCCATTCCCATAACAACCGTGGAACAGTGGGAAGTACTGCACGAGGCGGATCCAGTCCAGGCCAATGCTGATAACAGACAGCATCACAGGCAGACCGTATACCTGGAGGGTAAAGCGGTACAGGGACTACGTGACTCGGGGGCTACTATCACCTTGGTAAAAAGTCACCTGGTGTCGGATCAAGCGAGACTGAGTAAAACTGTGGCCGTCCGGGTAGCCGGGGGAGCAGTGTACCGGCTACCTACAGCAAGGGTATATTTACATTGGGGAGCGGGGGCAGGACATGTGGAGGTGGGGTTGATGCCGCAGTTACCGGCGGAGGTATTGTTGGGGAACGATCTGGGGAGGCTCACGTCTGCTTTTGAGCCCCAGACGTCCACCACAGGAGAAGCTCACCCTGTGGTCACCCGTCAACAGGCCCGCACCCAGGATTACAACACACTCCCGGAGGTTCAGGTAAGAGACCCTTCCCCTTCCCTTGACTGTGTCCCCTGTGCCCCTCCTAACGAATTTGCAGCGGAGGTAGTGACTGACCCCACCTTGCAGGTATACAGGGACAAGGTGACAGCAGACCCTGCTGGGGGAGAGGGGGAGAGATTTGTCTGGGACAAGCAGCTTTTGTACAGGGAGACAGACAAGCAGATTGAGGGGTCAGACCCAATAGTGATGAGGCAGCTAGTGGTGCCGCAGCGGTACCGAGCAGAGCTACTCCGGATAGCACACGATATCCCGCTATCCGGACATCTAGGGGTCAGCCGCACTAGGTACCGACTGACCCAAAGTTTCTTCTGGCCAGGGATCAGCCAGGAAGTGCGCAGGTATTGCACCACCTGCGATACCTGCCAGAGGGTAGGGAAAAGGGGAGACCGGAGGAAGGCGAAACTACACCCCTTGCCAATAATTGAGGAACCTTTTAGCCAAATAGCGGTAGACTTGATAGGTCCCCTCAAGAAAGCTAGCCCGTCAGGCAAAAGGTACATTTTAACGGTAGTAGACTATGCTACCAGATATCCAGAGGCAGTGGCTCTGACCAACATTCATGCTGAAACGGTCGCGGATGCCCTCATGCAGATATTCTCCCGGTTGTGATTACCCAGGGAGATTATCTCGGATCAGGGTACCCAATTTACCGCAGAATTCACCCAACACCTCTGGAGGATCTGTGGCATTAAGCCTATTATCAGTGCCCCTTACCACCCCCAGACTAATGGGCTTTGGGAACGGTTCAATGGCACATTGAAACAAATGCTCCGAACCTTCGCAGAGACCCACAAGGACTGGGAGCGGTTCCTGCCGCATCTCCTATTCGCTTACCGGGAGGTGCCGCAGGAATCCACAGGGTTTTCCCCTTTGAACTGCTGTTTGGGAGGAGGGTCAGAGGCCCCTTAGATCTTATAAGAGAGCATTGGGAGGGAGATCGGAGCGCAGATGGCACCCCCATCATACCATATGTGTTGGCCCTCCGAGACCGCCTGGAAGCCTTAACTAGGACGGTAAGGGAAAACCTTCAGGCGGCACAGACCCGCCAGCGCACATGGTATGACCGGGGAGCCAGGGACCGTAGCTTTCAGGTTGGGCAGAAAGTGCTAATTTTAAAGCCTGTCCGACATGACAAGCTACAGGCCGCCTGGCAGGGACCTTATAGGGTGGTGGAACAGAGATGTGACACCACCTATATAATTGGGCCCTGTACAGGGACGGGAGGGCGACGCATGCTCCATGTAAACATGATGAAGCCCTACCAAGAGCGCTCCGAGGAGGTAACCGCCATATGTGCGCCCAATTCTGATGAGTTTGACAGCTTACCACTCCCAGATCTGCTGGAAGATGGGCAGTTGTCTGGGGATTTAGGGGAAGTCACACTGGGAGACCGGCTGAGCCCACAGGAGCGCATCGAGGTACAGCAGCTGTTGGAGGAGAAACGAGACACGTTCTCTAATGTACCTGGGTACACCCCTCTGGCCACTCACCGGGTAGAGACCCCAGGGCAACTACCGATGCGCCAGACCCCCTACCGCATCCCAGAAGCGGTAAGGGAAAACATGCGCAAGGAGATCGATGAGATGCTCCAGCTGGGGGTGATTGAGCCCTCAGATAGTCCCTGGGCTTCTCCGGTAGTGCTCGTACCGAAGCGGGACGGTACGACCCGCTTCTGCGTAGACTACCGGAGATTAAACGAGAAAACTGTGTCCGATGCATACCCTATGCCACGGATAGATGAGCTACTGGACAGAATGGCCAGGGGTCAATACCTCACTACCATTGACTTATGTAAGGGGTATTGGCAAATCCCCCTGGCCCCAGAGGCCATCCCGAAGTCGGCCTTTGTCACCCCATTTGGCTTGTACCAGTTTAAGGTCATGCCATTTGGGATGAAAAACGCCCCAGCTACTTTCCAGAGGATGGTAGACCGACTCCTGGATGGGTTCCAAGACTACACCTGTGCCTACCTGGACGATATTGCCATTTTTAGCAATACGTGGCAGGAGCACTTGGCCCATATAGGAGCGGTTCTAGACAGGATTAACCCCTTAAGGACCAAACTTCTGGAATAAAAGGGAATCCTGACATGTCACACATGTCATGTGTCCTTAAGGGGTTAAGGAAGCTGGTTTGACATTGAAACCGGCCAAGTGCAGCATAGGGATGGCCGAGGTGCAGTACCTCGGACATAGAGTGGGGTGCGGCAAACAGAAGCCCGAACCAGCCAAAGTAGAAGCCGTGGCCCAGTGGCCCACCCCTAGGACTAAAACCCAGGTGTTAGCCTTTCTAGGGACCGCTGGGTATTACAGAAAGTTTGTCCCTAACTATAGCGCCCTCGCCAAACCCCTCACTGACCTTACCCGGAAGAATTTGCCCCGCCAGGTGACCTGGACCCCGGAGTGTGAACAGGCATTCCAACATCTGAAAAATGCACTGATAAATGCTCCTGTCTTGGCAGCTCCCAATCCAACTAAACGTTTTCTTGTTCACACAGACGCTTCTATGTTTGGATTGGGAGCAGTACTGAGCCAAGTCGGAGCCGATGGCGGAGAACACCCCGTGGCTTACATCAGTCGCAAGCTGTTACCCCGAGAAGTAAGCTACGCCGCCATCGAGAAGGAATGCCTGGCTGTGGTGTGGGCCTTAAAGAAACTGCAGCCGTATCTATATGGACAGCCCTTTTCACTTACTCACGGATCACAACCCGCTGGTATGGCTAAACCGGGTGGCTGGGGACAATGCCAGGCTGCTGCGCTGGAGTTTGGCGCTGCAGCCTTTTGACTTTAATATTCAGTACCGCCCGGGTAAACAGAATGGGAATGCCGACGGGTTGTCGAGACAAACTGACCTGGAAAAATGATCCGTGAGTCCCCGGACATCCCCAAGCCGATCCGTGTTGGATCAGACTGTGTATGCCGGCTTGTGGGCAAGGGGGAGCAGTGTAGCGGATGGCACTGGGCTGTCCTGCAAATGTCTTTGAAATAATTGCATTCGTGTGATCTGCTAGTTTTCTATGTGTTTTAAAAGCCTTGTATTCTTCTGATTGTTCGGTAGTTTCATTCCCTTAGTTTATTCGAATGAAAATACCGAACAACCAGACCTCCCCTGTGTAAAGTGTGTCCTCAATTACCCGTTGCAACATTGTTGCGAACGGGTAATTGACTAGGAAGTAGCCGTCCTTTGTTCTCGGGGGTGGCCGCCATTCGACAAACGAACACGTGGCGGCGGCCATTTTAAAACTCCCGAACAGCGGTGTTTTGCCGTCGAGTGTCTGGAACTAAAATCGGACACTCGAGTAGGCGAACACCGCTGAGACCTCCACAGCCCTGGTCCGTTCGGTTCCAAACTACCGAACGGCCCCTCGTTCGGTAGATAGAAAATACCGAACGAGGGGATTCAGGCGAACCCTCCCTAGCCTCTATAGCTAGAGGCTTTCGTGTATTTTGTTCCCTTATGCCAGGACCGACCGCAGGGCCCATTCGTATGGAACCGTATTCGGCTATCTCCGTTCGTGCGGTCGGTCATTTTATTCCCTCCATACTTTTCCCGAACCCCTGGTCTGATCTGGTTAATTTTTGGATATGTTGTCCCCCCAGATCAGGAGTATCCGGGGATGTAGGATTTAAAGAGGTACCCCTACGTTTAGGGGTACATCCAGAAACGGGGGGAATTACTGTACTGGATAAGGGGATTATGATGCTGGCTGAGGGGAGGAGATGTGTGGGAGGTTACCAGGACAGGATTGGCTACTGTAATAATTACTGTAAATCCCTCCCTTGCATGGGAGCATGCTTTATAAGGAGACTGTGGATTAAAAGCTTTCAGTTCTGCTCCTGAAACTGTGTGTCGTCCAGTTATTGGGATTGCTGTGGGGATATTGCTGTTGTTTTACCTGCTGGAAACTTTGCCTATGGATTTATTATTTACTTGTTCCTGAGCCTCACTTGGATTATAAGCGGAGATAACCTGGGGAATATTGCATCTCCGCTACACGCTCACCGCCTGATATGCGATTTGCCCACAAGGTGGAACTCCACCTTGCACATGCTGGAGAGACTGTGCGAGCAGCAGCAGGCGATAGTGGAGTTTCAGCTGCAGCATGCACGGGTCAGTCACTCTGCACCAGACTTGCCCTCCAATTGATGAGAGTTAAAAGATTTCAAGTGGACTCATTACAATTACAGGGCCTCTAAAGAGTCCTGTATTGTTATTTGTCGTCACTACCATGCCGCGTCGGGAGTGGGTCACTTGCGCACCCGCTGCCTTCCTTGCATATGGTAGCCGTTTCTCAGGCTCCCTCTCAGGAATCGAACCCTGATTCCCTGTTACCTGTGGTCACCATGTGTAACAGCACCCCCATGCATAAAAGGGTTAAACCGCCGTTTAGAAGATCTTCCCCTTCCAGAGATACAGGCACAGTTACTGCAGAACACCAAACTCCCGAACTGCATACAAGGGAATGCTCCAAACTCCCGAACTGCATACAAGGGAATGCTCCAAACTCCCGAACTGCATACAAGGGAATGCTCCAAACTCCCGAACTGCATACAAGGGAATGCTCCAAACTCCCGAACTGCATACAATGGAATGCTCCAAACTCCCGAACTGCATACAATGGAATGCTCCAAACTCCCGAACTGCATACAAGGGAATGCTCCAAACTCCCGAACTGCATACAAGGGAATGCTCCAAACTCCCGAACTGCATACAAGGGAATGCTTCAAACTCCCGAACTGCATACAAAGTAGCACTCCAAACTCCCGAACTGGAACTTCACGAATAGCTGCTAGCAGCCGAACAGGAAAAGCATCCAAAGGGCTTACACTCCTGGCAATCAGTCTCTAACAGCATACAGTAAATCCGAGACGAGACAGAGCTCCGTGTTGAGGGTCAAGCAGTGGTTTGGTTTATTGAGGGCTACCTGCCCAGTATTTATGCAGGTCTCCCAGCTGGTGGACACTCCCCTAGGGGACCAGATGAGAGACTGTAACAAAGGACAGACATGAACCAATGACAGACATACAGAGGTAAAACATCCCCACAATGCATCCTAATTTCCCTCCCTCTGTCCTGGATATAATTGGGAAGTAATCCAATTATCTCCCAGGACAGAGGCAAAACTCCATTAACCACATGGCAGTAAAAGACAGTAAAAGACATAAAAATGTATAAAGTTACAACTGTTGCACAAAACATATACATTCTAAATATCCCCAGATAGCTTAGATCTGAGCGCACATTATGACTGGATGGCGCTCAGATCACACACATACAGTTCAATCGCCATGGAGCCAAAGTCTTTCCCATAGTCTTTCGTTACACGAATAGGCTCCATGGCATGGCTATCTGGGGTAATGCCAGGTTACTCCATGGGCTTGAGCAGGTTGCGTGGGGCAGATATTGTGAGGCCCATAGCAGTCAGCAGGGCAGGTGCCTCGTCTTTGGTTCAAAGTGTATTGACCGTTTCATTCCATGTCACTTGTAGAGTGCCTTAGGGTCCCCAGCGATAAGAGATTCCTGCGGTACGTAGTTGGGATGTAAATGGCGCCATGGGCCTGCGCCATTGCAGGGTCGCCCTGGATAGGTCTTGGTAGAATGATAATGGAGACTGCTCAAATTGTATGGGTGTTTTGTCGCACAGGGCTGACATAATGCGGTTTTGGTCAGCAAAGGAGGTGCATCTCAGGATTACATCTTGTGGTGTGGAGGTTGTAGTTTTGGAACTCCCTGCGACTCTGTAAACCCCATCAAGTGTCATCTTCTTGGCTATTGCAGGTGGTAAAATAGAGGCCAGCAGCCTTCGGGTATAGTGAGGCAGTTCTTCCGACGTGATTGCCGTGGATTTTCACATGATTACAGCGGTGACGGTCTTCCAGTGTAGTTAATTGCATGAGTATGGAGTGCTGGGTAGCTTGAAGCTGGAGGACCAAGTCGCCGATCGTGGCAACCTCCGTTTACACATTCAGGACGGTACCTTCTGTGGCCTGTACTCGGTCTCCGTCTGCCTGGATTTCTTTCTGTGGGAGAGCTTGGTCTGCAGCCATCATTTTGTGGAGGGCAGCAAGCAGGACTCTAAGGTCATCTTTAGTTGCCGGTGCCGACCCCCTGTGAGCTCCTTGGGAGGCTGTCTAGCCACCCCAGGTATTGGAGAGAGTCCAGGTACCTGGGCTTCCTGTGCGTGCTGTGCTGTAGCCATGCTTTGTGGTTCCCCCGCTGGGGTTGATTTAGCTGGCGTGGACATTTGGAGCATGACCCCCATATCCCTTCCCTCTGGCTTTTGAGACCAGTGTCCCATATTCCGGGAACCCTCCGGAGATGGAGGAGGTGAGTGTCGGGCATGCTCGTATCCGTTATGCTCCAGGGAGCTGCACAGTAGAGACTCGAGTGAGAAGCATGAGGGGTGAAGGTAGGCCGGTTTCGGCGTGGGACACCCGGTGGGGCATCGAATCAGCAACAATCTGCTCAGGAAATCTCCTCGGGTGTGATGGTGTGGTATTCTAGAGTGGCTGGCTCCATCTGGTAGCACTAGGTGGCATTAATCGGTTCCATTAGTGGGAGCCGACAGACATGGCGTCCGTCTCGTCCCGCTGGCAAGCTCTGCCCCCTCTAAACTTCTCTTTTCTTAAACATGTTTTTCCTATTAAAATTTTCAACTTGTATTTGTGATTCCTCAACAAGATCTGTTGGATAATGTCTGTTCTGAATTTTTTTGTTGAGAACTTGTACTTGACTTTTAAAATCATTTATTTCGGTACAATTTCTAAAAAGCTGTGTAGCGGGACTGCCTAAACTGTGAATTGCCTTGTTTTATATGTATGGATGTACCCTCCTAGAAAGTGTGTTTCCCCTCTTTCACATTCCCCTTTCTGTAATTTTTACCACAAAGTCCTGCAATATACCTTTTGGCCGCCCAGGGGCACTCTGGTGCACCGAGCCCCGTGATATCTCCGGCTATGTACATTTGATCGCCCTGCTTTTTGCAGGGGTCCCAGAGGGGACCTGGGGCTATTTAGCTATGTAAATGTTAACCCCTTCCCGTCCCGGGGCGCCGAGCCCCAAAGTGTATCCCCCTGAATGTAAAATGTATTCATGTGTGTCCCTGTGTCTAGTTAGTATCTCCCAGAGCGGGAGATAGTTATCTATTCCCCAGCCCCCTCCTGTATGTGTTTTGTGTTATGTTGGATGGAGACCCCCTGCAGGGGTCTGTGCATAAAAAGCTGTGTGCCCAAATAAAGATTGTCAAACGTTGTATCCTGGAACTATGTTCCGTCCGGTTACTGGGGGAAATGGGTCTGGCCTATTCTAACCAAAGAGGATAACCTGCCAGGTTAACCAGGAATATTTTTAAGCCAGTCAGGATGGTGACAGCTGGAATATTCAATGAAGCTTTTGCCATTAGTGGGCTTAAAAACCGCTTTGCTCTGTATCTGCCCATTTTCTATAAAAAAAAAAAAAAGTCAAATCCAGAAAATTGATTTCTGTTTTGTGAATATCTGCAGTGAATTTGAGATTGTAAGAATAACTTCATCATCCAAACTTATTAAAAAATAAAAAGTTATGCTAAATCTGTATCCCCCTTCCTCCTGCTTACCTTTAATGAAGGAGGGGGGACACAGCCATCCCTGGTGGTCCAGTGGTGGTAAGTACTGCTTCCGGGTCAGGAGGCAGGGGGAGGGATCTGTGAAGCAGCTTCCCTGTCCTCCCTCGCGATGCTGTGTGGATGCTCCACACAGCATCGCGCGGGAGGACAGTGGAGCTGCTTCACAGATCCCTCCCCCTGCCTCCCGACCCGGAAGCAGAGTAGACGCCTGCCGTTTTGGGCAGTGCAGGTGCCTACTCTGCATTGATGGCGAACCTATGGCCGCGTGCCCACAGAAAGGGCCCGGCGTGCCACCTTTGGCATGCGTGCCATAGGTTCACCATCATTGACTAGACCGATTTTGACTTGCCTCCTCTGGATATATTAGCAAGTGTAGAGAGCCTATTACTTCTGTTAACAAAGCAATATTTTGTTATAAAATTAATTATAAAAATCTTGTTAAAGTAATATTTCAGAATAAAAAGGAAATTAGCCTAATCACACTGGAGAATTTAGCCGTCTTTTGTTTTACTTTTATAGAAAATTACTTTTTATACAATGACAATATGATTAATTTGCATTGCTGGTGCTACAATTTATTGACCGATGGATAATTTTAGATTGTTAAACTTGTTTTTAATAAATAAAAATGTAATTGAAAACATATTGCATGTCATAGATTGAATAATCATCACAACCTCTGATTTATATATCAGATATATACATCAAAGTAAATGGACAAGACTCTGCATTGCCAGATTTATAATGAACAATAAATCACAGTTTTGTTAACAGTAAAATTACTTCTAAGAACCATAAACTAGAAGTAATTGTAGTGGTTATGGTGCTATGAACCTAATGTTGTAGTCATTCTGTTTTTTGTCAAGTTTAATATGATTTGCTATACCTATATCCGATTACCTAAATCTTACCTCTTTAATTTCAGGTATAATCTTGACAGTGTGTGGAGTTTTCCTTTTAAGCACTTCTCTTATCTGTTTTATTTATAACCATATATTAGGCAAAATGAAAAGAATTTCTCAGCACTCTCCAAATACATTTTAAAAGCTAGTATCTCAGTAAATATAATGAATTTCATTCAAATTGAAAGCTCTAAATTTCATTGAATTGTCCTATTATTATTATTTTATTTTTTTGTGGAGGGAGTTACTCCAAATGCTATCAAATATATACTGAAGCAAAGTTTGAGGAGCATAAAAAAATAATACAAAGAATTAAACAATTGAAAAGCTGTGTTCTCCTGCCCAGCATTGTCGACGGACATAAGTGTTCAGTTTTAATGGCCTTTTAGTCAAAGACTAAATTTTTAATTTTTTTTTGTTACATTTAAGCCTACAAAGAAAACCATGTTTGTAATAAAACATACTAAAAGCACATTTGTAAGTCGTTTCCCTCTTCTTCCATTCACATTGGAAGCTTATGGCACGTATCAATTTACGGGAACTTTCAATCTACCCACTCCTAATCACCATGTATGAAATATGTCATCACGTGCATTTTATCACATACCCTCAAGCTGAGGATTCTGCAGTTTATAAATAACACTAAACAGAGGTTAGAAAACCTAACGGCCTGATTGCTTTATACTGTATTCACTTCTGCAGGGCCTATAATGCTCCAGTTTCAAGTCTGTTGTTAAACATTTCTAAGGACTGTAATGATTACTAACTCCAGGTTCATTATAGAGAAGGGGCAGCCAAAAGTTAACCCCAACCTTATTGGAGTACTACTCCCATGATGCTTTCCCAGCCTTTTTTTTTTCTCCTCGCTACCTTTCTCCACTGTAATGTGTTATCTGTTGGAGATGAGTCACAAGCTGTGTAGGTTTATATTGGGTTTTTATTATGTGGAAACAAAAACTTTAGAAG